TTTTTTAAAAATTAAACCAAATAAAGCAATAAAAAAATCCCACCGTTCTCTCGGTCAAGAAATAGTTTCTGAGAACTGTACAGGTAGATAAATAAATGAACAACAGGGATATTGCATGTTCATACATACATGTAATTGACAAATATATTGATAACAATATAATGATAATTTTGTAAACAGTTTACAAGACTCCATGGTTAAATCCCCATATGCGTTCCTATTGACACCCACCCTCTGTATCCCCCACCCTCAGTATATGTTCATGTAAATACTTGGGGAGCTAAACCTCTCCGATTTAGATCAAAATTAAGTATTGAATTGTGTTTTTGTACAGTATTATTTAAAAGAGAGCCGAGCCATGCTCTAAACAATGTTTTAGTTTCATTTTTAGCCTTACTGTGTGGACCCTGGAACACAAAATCGATTTACCAATTGATGTAAACTTTCAACAGACACAGATTGTCTTCCAATAAACCTATCAAAATACAAAATCAACAATTTGACCTAATTCAAAGAGGTCTAATCATATTAACTTCCACAATTGACATCATAACCTAAAGAAAAAATATTAAATAAATTTACCAAATTTGGATTATTGCAGAGCTTGAAATTATTGCAAATAAACTACACTTAAATTTACCACCCAATATGCATTTCATAACTAAATGATCATTACTGCGACATTTACTAGGTGATATCACATCAATATAATATTTTAATTTCCTGTAACAGATAGTCAAACTCTTCGACAAAACCTCAGATTCTTCTCTTATCAACCATTCATATGAAAGAAGGCAAATATATATATATTCTAATATATGCAAAACACCTCACTCCATAATTAAAATAATGTAGTCAGTTCTTGCAATAATTTCATGTCCTGTATCTTTCTAATAACAAATTTTACAAAATACATTTAGAAATTAAGTGTTTTAAAGTAAATACATGTAGTAGCCCTATATCTTTTCTTTGGAATCAAACATAGATAATCTGTATAAACATTAACTATGAGTTAAAAGCACCTAAATTAATTTCCAAAAGGCACAAAAATGCAATTTCATGCTTTTATATGATAGTCTGAATTATTCTGTAGGAGAAAAATAAATAAATAATGTAATGTATGTGTACTGTTAATCTTTACAAAAAAAAACGTTATAGCAAATAGGCAATGGAGATTTTAACACATGTTACGTATGATACATGTTAAAATTAATTGGATGACTTAATATTTTTCAACAATTGGTAAAACAATGGAGACTCCCACTGATGGTTATATTATACATGTACCTCAGATACAAACATGTTTACTATATGAGTCTTGAGGCCTGGCAATAGAGATTTCATATGTGCTACTAATTAACTGCATACTTGAAGAGTCTTTATGTACTTAGAACCCGATATAGCAGGGGTGTGGACAGCTAAAACTATGTTGTGCGGGGGGACGGGGGTAGTAGGAAAGTAACATTTCTCCAAACATGCAAGGCAAAATTTTTGTTTAGCTTTTGAAGTGGGAGTGGCACACAGTATAATATACTCTTCAAAAAAAGTTGGGGATATTGAAATGCAAATACCTATGCAGGTTGTCATATGATAAATAGTCATGAACACTTGACATGCTTTGAGAGTATGTTCACAGGTGAAGAACTTATCGCCCCAACAGATCCACTGAGCTGCACATGCAACACGCAATAGCGCCATACACGTGGGAGGGGTTCATTGTCAATTTGACAGATCAAGGAAGGGTTGATGAAAACTGCCGTTTGCTGGTTTATCCTATCCATGTTTGCTTTCCTATCGGTTTTTCCATAAGAATTACTGTTTAGCGTATCTTTACTTTAGTGTGTTATGTTTAATTTGATCAGGAGACGTGTTCGTTGACGTCAACGTCAACCGACAACACTGCAAGAATTGGCCGTGGCACTGCAAGAGGAGTGGGTCAGATTGCCCCAAATCGTGATTGGACGGTTGATTAGGAGCATGCCACAACAAATTGCTGAATGTCTGAGGATTGATGGAGCAATTAGTCATTATTAAGACAAAAATCAAAAAAGTCCATTTTCACTTTTGACAGTGTATCCCTTTGCGAGTGAAATGGGGCCATCAGATATGCCACCCATATGAACTGCTTATGTGCTTATGTTCATGTGTAGGCAATTGGCCTGTAATTAACATACACTGGTTAACTCTAATAAAAACAGCAGTGCATTTCCGCAGTTTTGTATTGTTTCTGAATATCCCCTACTTTTTTTGAAGAGTATAGTTCAAAATTTCGTTTTACTTGTCTTCACAACACTAGGACCCGGAAGAGTTGTTATATAACAGGCGTTCCATTTTTTGAAGAGTATATATCAGATCATTTCCTTGAAAGTTACACTCTGACAGATAAACACATTTTTTAATCTCAGACTGAGATTTTGTGTTCATCTGAACAGATCTCTCAATTTTCAAAATAAAAGCTTGTGAAATACATGTAATGGCCTGATCAAGACACTTTTAGTAATGAAATGATATTTAACATTCTACATTTTCAGCTTTTATAATATAAATGTCCCAAATGAAAATCACGAACCAGGCTGATTTATACTTGGTGTGGCTAGTAGACTGCATGAAAATATATTTTAAGAATATAAAAAAACAAAGAATAGAAGGTTTCTCTTCATTTTTGGTCAAACTATGGGAAGAAGACTTCATAGTGGAGGATTTGGATTCCTATTACCCCACCACCATATTTTCAGGTTGTATCAAGTTTTTATATACCAAATAACTAAGTGTAGTAAAAGCCAAAATTCACAATATTTCTAGATGTAACATTTGCATCAAAACAGGACTTGAAAGCGCATTTAGCATTACAAGATATATTGATATTCAATATATTTATATAAAAAAAAAATCAAGATTTCTTAAGAGCACACTCTAAAGAGTTCAATTACCAAAACATACTGATGAAATAGTAGTGATTAAGTAGACCAGCACAACACTTTGTTTTAGATAAAACCAAGCAAATAAGTTATCTTTTCATAAACATGTACAAAGTTTACAAAGAAAGCAAAGGGCCATATGAACTGATCTTACATTTAGGTGATGTTGTTCCTCATTGGAATATTAAAAGTCAAGTATGAATATATCAAGAATAGCAGCAAGTTTACCTTACAGATAATTATTGAATGACAAATATTTGATTTTACAAACATTTATGAAGCATTAATATTAAGAAATCGTTCATCACTGAGTGTGACTTTAAAGGAGCAGCTCCAAATAAATATTAGTGAAATAAATGGTTTAATGTGGATTGATTGAATCCTAGACCTATGCAGCTATCTTGAGCTTGGGTGGGACAATTTACCCAATACTACCCAACACCACCCCAATATCACCACATACTACCCAATACTACAACATAATGATGCAAAATAGAGATATCATTTGATTTTTTCAAAAATAGAGAGTTATATAGCTGGAAATGTGCTTTAAATGTGATACCGATGTCTGGCTGTTCCATTTGCCTCTCTATACCACCCAAAACAAGCCAATAATAACCCAATACTACCAAATATTAATCAAGTACTACCAAATACTACCCAATATGATCAAATAACAACCTAATACTGTCAAATAACAGCACATTAGTATAATTACTGCAACGAATATTCAATATTTTGCAGAAAATTGAAATGTTTACCCAGTTATCTCCCTTTATAACCGATAAATAGATTTTAGATTACTACTCGGATTAATTATTTTCTTTGGCTTTGCAGTTAAAATAAGAAAAACAAGTAACCATATACCATATTTTTTTCCCAAAACAGACCACCTCTCTCTTACCGCTTGATAGTGACAAGGCGTGGAGTCGTCTGTCAAACAAGGTGGGTTTTCTCTGGTCCCCTGGTTTCGTCTCACTGTTAAACACCCCTTCGCGCAAGTGAGTTAATGAAATAATATTGAACTATATGTTAGTCCTGAAATTACCTAGTTAGTGTCGATTGTTTATTTATTTTAAAATTAATGCTTTAACAAAACAAACTGTATAATGTTTATATTCCTTTTTTCATGTCAACTATTAAGTTATTGCATATTTACTTGCTGCACAATATTTTATTTTAAAATTAACGAAATTGCACATGTTTCTGTCAAGTGTGTAATGCTCGACGCGATACTTCACAGTTCATCAAAACTATCATTTGCGGCCGTTACAGAGAGATTGACATTTCGAAGAGAGAGAGAGAGAGAGAGAGAGGGTTTAATCTCCACTCCTATATTTCAATGATTCGCTTGCGCATATCGAGGTCTTAAGCAGTGGGAGGAAACTGGAGACCGTGTCTATTCATTTTGGTGGTAATGAAATCACTGTCAATAGTGACAATATTCGAAGAATTGGTGAAATTTTGAAAAGAGGAGATTTTTCAAACGCGCACAGTTTGGAACCAGAATCATTTAAAAGAAAAAGGAAACACGTTAATAAGTCATTAAAAGACAGATATAAAGATAAATTTGTGTGCTTTCCTGACATATTATACCCAAATGTTTTACAGGACTGCGTGAAGAAATATAGTATAAGAAGACTTCTGAGTAGGCCAAAAGACCGTTAAATGAACATTTTTAAATCTACCTCTAAAATACTCTTTTATTTGGATGTTTGACTGTTTATTTTATAAACTGGTTTTACTTTAATGCATTTTTAAATCTTTGTAATTTCTTTTAAAACTCTTTTTATTTTAAGTTATGTTAAATATTGATAAGCTTTTAATGTGTAATATTAGATGAATAAACTATAGCGGGGGCATCCACAACAACTTGGTTTCCTTATTTTAACTTCGTTGTCTTGGAAACAAACTGCAAAGCCCAACAAGATGATTCATCTATTTATCGGTTTTAAAGGGAGATAATTACGGAAATATTTCAATTTTTTGCAAATAATCGAATACCGGTATTCGTTGCAATTATTTTACTGATGTGCTGCGAATTGGTGATATTAGGTTTGTATTTTATAATATAGGGTAGTATTTGGTTATTATTTGCTTGATTTGGGTGATATAGGCAGGTAAATGGAACAGCCAAGACATCGGTAATCACAATTGAAGTACATTTCCCACGATATATCTCACTATTTTTGAAAACAATCAAGTAATATGCTCATTTTGCACAATTATGTTGAAGTATTTGGTAGTATGTATGTTGTGATATTGGAGTGGTATTCGGGTGGTATTGGGTAAATCGTCCCGCTGCTTTAGCTCTGTGATACTTTTTCCGAAAAAATACAAACTTTCAGTTTCCATGTGGGTTTAACAATATGTCCCCAAATTCTACATTGACAGTAAGTTGAATGGATAACCATGTCTATATACCTGCATAATTTATAGTGGTAAGTGATTGTAGAGATTATCAAGTCAGTTCTTAAAGTTATGTAACAGCTCAATACATGTATATTGATTGGAAATGTTCAGATCTGGTAAATAGACAATATTATAACATTTGGGTATTTGATTTGCACACTTTTTTTTACAGGACTGCCCCTTTAGCTAAAGTAAATAAGCGGTGAATATGATCCTTAGTATGCAAAGAACTGTTTATCATACAAGAAACTGTTTAGCATACAAAATCCATACTTATCATATACAATTACGAATATTAAGATTTCATTAAATAATCATACACGAATAATATCAGCACTATTATAGTTACACAATGAAGTCAAAGTTTCTTTTGAAACAGATGTCAACTAGATAAAGTTTCACTTCTGTAGTGTGGTTGATCTGATGATATTGTTTCTGATGAAGACGGTAATGTAGAATGAAGATTTTCAACGTCTAATTCAGCTTTGGAAAAATACTGTCCTCCTAAACTTAAAATATCCATATATGGGGGTAGATCTGAATCATTTGTTCGTTCTGAATTGTCATTTACAATCGGTTTTGTTACAGTTTGATTGTTATCACAGAATACAGGTGTGGATTTAGTGCTTGGTTTATGTAATATGTTACTTAAATCAATATTAGGAGCACTACCAATATAGTTCACATTTGGTAAATCATAAGCAGGATACAATCCTGCTAGTTGATCACCCGAAATTTGGCCATTCACTTGAAGTTCAGATGGCAACAGATTTTGAGATTTTCTAACATCATCACTTCTAGAATCGATAAGAATTTTACCAGACACAGTTTGAAAATTTGAATTTATATCATCTAGAGAACTAGCAACCGTAAATTGTGTAGGAGAATCCAAAGTTCCAATTAAATCCGATAAATTATCAAAGAAGACTTTGTCAGGTTCTGACGAAACTGAAACTTGCTTAGAAATAGGTACAGGCAATGGTGTCTGTATTTTTTCATGTAACAGTGCCAGCTGATATGAAAATGGATATTCTTTGGACAATACAGGTTCAGATGTATTTTCCTGAGCATTACTTTCCCCTGTTAAAATTCTTGTAAGTAACTGAGATGAATCACTTGATGTAGTTACAACTACAGGAGTAACACATTCTATTATAGATTCTTTTGGATTATGCTTTTTGGAGGATGGAGTTCTCCCAATCTGCTTTAATGCTTCTTCATAAGTTGGTAACGTTGATGTCTCTGTTGATGTTGTTCTGGAATTGGAACTGCTTCTCTGATGAGAAATATTTTCTTTGGGTTTCGGAGAAACTATAATCATATCATCATCTGGTGTTGAACAGGATACACTTGGACTTCGTTGTATAGGAGATTCAGATTGTAATCGAATGGCATTAATGAGTGATAAATTTGGAGGAACTGTATCTCCATTGGTGTTGGTAATAACAAACCGGTTATTGAAACTGGAAGGGTTTAAAGAAACAAAACCACTGGGATCAAGCTGTTGAGCTAACAGCCTCTGATGTGTCTGTAAAGCTGCCTTAGTTAACCCCGGAGCTTTTTTCATGATATTTAATAACTGATTAGCTGTTGCACTTGCAGCAGAGGTACCTGTCATGGATGGTTCTGCTAAAGTAACTACCGGTCTGATAGGAGTCACAATACGTGGATTAATCAATGGTCCAACACCTGTGCTCATGCCTTGTATTGGCATGAATGCATTGGGGGAACCTATATATTCAACAGGACTTTGATTTATGCTGCCTTGTGATAAGCAATGTGGAGACATAATAGAAGATGGTGTTGATGTAGCACTTGGCCTTGGATGTGGTGATGTATGTGAAATAGGGCTAACAATTTGTTGGTCTGTGGTTATGCTATGAGATGATTCTGATCTTCCAATATAGCTCTCTGATACAAGTGTCACTTCAGTGGATGGTACTGGTGTGGAATTCATAACAGGGCTGGTGTTAAAGCTATGATAGCCAGCATCAGATATTAGGGTTTGGTTCTTAAACTGCTCTACTGAATGCTGCCTCTGCCTCCTTATAGGTTTTCTTGGAGGAGTAGTAAAGTCATGTGGAGAAATTGGCTTCTGAGTTATGGCATTAACTGGAGATACAGCTTCTATCCTAACATTGGGTTGCTGTGCTGGAAATGATTGTGGTTGCTGTGGGTTTGAAGGTACAGTGAAAACAGGCATGGAGATACTTCTCTGCACAGGTTGAAGTTTATATTTGGCGTTAAAGTACTCAGGTCTGTTTTGCCTGATAGGTGGTGTATTTGGTACAATAAATGGCTCTTGCTGGTCTTTTTCTGTTGTTTTTAGAGTAACATTAGGTGGCTCAGTCCAGATTAAATCGGCATTCATTCCTTCAGGTTTATTGCTCAAGTTACATGTACTGTCATTGAAACTCTGGTCTGCACCTTCTGTGGAATAATTTGAAGCCCTGCTTTGTGCCCTGGCTGTCAGAGCTTCAGTGACAAACTCAGCTACATCAGATGGAAGTTCTCCCTCATCTGTATTATCATTGTAGCCACATTTAGTGTCTAACTTATCAAGGGTTTCAACACACTCCATTTGAGCTGTATGCTCCACTTCTTTCTCTGGTTTCTTGTCTTCATCTTTTATTTTCTTATTCTTCGGTCTACCCAGTAATTCTACAATTTTACTCTGAGTAAAATCCTCATTTCGCCTCTTTGGGATATAATCCATGTTCATTCTAGCTTCAATTGATCTACTTGGCAGTGGAGATGGTGGTTCTTTAGACAAAGATTTTGCGGGCTGATGAATACTTCTAAGGAGATTAGGATTATCTAATTTAATAGGCTTTTTTAGCAGAGAAAGAAGATTTACTGGATGACAACTACCTTGCTTTTGTTTTTCAGGCTTTTTAGATTGTGGATCCACACTTTTGCTAACTTCTGGAGGGTCTACATCCACAAGTTTGTTCAAAAAATTATGAATTCTTTCATCAAGCTGCATCTTTTCTTTCATAAGCTGTTTTTGAGATGGACGAAGAGATTTAGCACTAATACCGATGGAAGAAGTTTCTGTTTTAGAGTTTCTGTTAACGGACTGACAAAGATTCTTATCAACTGCCACTGAATTTGAATCTAGCAGAGCATCGTGCTCCAAGCTCTCAAGATTAAGATTATTGCTTAAAAGTTGTATATTTGTTTCAGCATGTGAGTTGGTAACACCTTTAGATACTAATTTGCAGCTTTGGTTTATACTTCTTCCATGCTTTGACTGGTTTACATTCTCAGATGTTTCTCCTTTTTGCTTGCTCTCCATCATAGAATTTGTTTTCTTTGAAATCAAAGCTGACCCTTGGTCAGAGCTTTTGCGCTTCCTGTTAAGTGTGTCATTTTCAGACTTACTGACTTCCATCATAGTCATTTCTGGCTGTTTACATGAATTTTCAATTTGGTTAAAACTTATCTCAGACATCTCAGTGTATGTACTGTTTTTAGAACTTTGGGAAATATTGGGCTGTATGTTTGTTGGTCTTACGTATTCCTGACTTGAAACTATTGTTGAAGTAGTGATGGTTGTGGGTTCCATACTACTCCTAACAGTGCTAATATTGGAAGATCTTTTCATTTGGTTTTGACTTGCAGGGTAGAATGTCAAAATGCCTGAATTTTCCTTGGAAGAGGCATGATTGTGTGTTGACATACTGGTTATGGCAGTGGTAGTAACAGTTTGACATGGCGACACAATGGTGCTGTTTTTTGTGGTCATGCTCTGCTGTGCAGATGAACCTAATATGATAAGAACGTCATTTGTTTTGGTACCTGCAGCAGATGCTGGAATTCTTAAGATTTGTGGTGCTACAACTGGTAAAGATCCAGTTACAGTGCTAGTTGCTTGTGGAGTTGGAATAGTAGTGAAATGTGTTCTCACTTCTTGAGCTTCTTTAGCTCTTTTCTCTTTCAAAATGGCTGCAACAGGTCTGCTGTCATAAGTTGGTGCTTCAGCTGGAGGTTTTTGAGAAACTGATGTTTTTGTAGGTGTAACTTTAGGTTTGATTGGTGTAAATCTATTTTTGGATTTTCTAGGTGTTTGTGGGGACAGTGATTTAGATTGAACAGTAGATGAGACTTGTGAACCCGATGAAGAATCTAGTGTTATTTGCTGTGTGTTTTCAGATTTGAGTATATCATAGGTCATTTCTTGATCATTCTGGATCTTTTCAGACAATGTTACTCCAAGAGATACGGACGGATCATTACTGAAGGCTGATTCTTTCCTTTGATTTGAGACTGGAACAAAAGCACTTCGAGTGGAAGGAGTGGATGGTAAAATGATTATACTGTTTTCGTTGGACATAGCACTATTATCTACACATATAGCATAATTTGAATATTGAGTAATATTTTCTTTTTCATTAGTGTCCATTGCTTGAGAATCACCTCTAGTAATGTTTTTATTTTCGTCTGATTTATGACCAATGACTTGTATCACAGATCGTTTTTGCACAACACTATAAGGTTGTTGAGATGAACTGGATGATTCACAAGTAGAAAGTGATGTATTGGTAAATATATTATTATGAGATGTAATGGGATAATTATCTTTTCCTACATTCACAACAGTAGCACTATCTGAACACATAATAACTGGTTCACTGGGTTCAGTGGTTTTCTGTTTAGCAGAATTGAGCACAGATATATCAACAGTGTTTCTACCATTGGTGGTAGCAGAGTTTGTTTCATTTGACTGACTGTCACTAAGTGAACGCCGTCTGTTTTTAGACGAATCACTATTGGGTGATTGAAGAAGTTTGGATATGTCACGTGCAGCACCTTTTCCTTGGAATGATTGTTTCAGATTTTTGGGAGACAAAATGAGTCCTCTTGATTGTATTAGTTGTTCATGCTCTTGCTCATTCTCATATTTCTGCTGTTGAAGAATTTTTTTCTGTTCTTTAAGAATTTCTCTTTCCTGCAGTTTCCTTTGTAACTGCAGTTGGGTTTCTCTGTGCTTATTTCCATTGGACGGACTTGAAAACAGCATAGAAACAGGAACTGAAAGGGAAAAAATATTATTCAGAAATCAACTTTTACTTAATAAATGAATTGGGATTATTAGAAATTACTACTCAACTGATATGTAAGGCTTCATACTGAAGCATGTCAGATAGCCAAGTATCAAATCCAAGACCAAACACCATAAAAAATTAGTCAAATTGATCAATCTTGTCAAGTTCTCGCCATTTCAATTTACACCATCGCCATAAAAAGAGTCGATAAGATAATAATAATTCTGAAACATTCTCCATACAATTGTTAATACAGGTTTTTATGTAATAGATTTTAAGTAGATAGTACATACAGTAGAATCTGTATTAAGCAGCCACTCAAGGGAATTTTCAGGATTGACCGCGGAGGTGCTACAAAGTATGTCAAGATGGTATCATTCAACATTGACCGTTGAATAGGCAAGGTTTTGTTAAATTTATTAGTAAAATAGTGAACGCTGCCGGCGTTAGAGGAGTGAAATAAAGAGATGAAATAATAGAATTTCTATGGGGGGAATTTATTGTGACCACTTACAAAGATATGTTGCTGAATAGGAGTGGCTGCTCGTATAGATTCTACTGTATTTTTAAAAGGCTTATTTACCAAGTAGTACGATGCCCTTTCAATGCATTTTGGAAACATTTTAACTTCTCAATCAAACAAATAAAGAGAGAGAGAGAGAGAGAAATGGGGTTTAACGTCCACTCAACACAAACTAGGTCATTTCGGGACTAACATGGTTTAATTTTATTTCAATAATTCGCTTGCGCGTAGGGGTCTTTAGCAGTGGGAGGAAACCAGACGACCCGGAAAAAACCCACAAGGTTGTAAAGGCGGGCGACCCTACTCCTTGTCACATACAACCGGGATTCGAAACCACACCAGTTGACTCAATGACAGGCCTTATGATACAGCGCGCACGTGCTAACCATTCGCCCATCCAACTCCCCCAAACAAATAAAAGTTAAACAAATAGTTACCTTTAGAACTGTGCATTCCCGAGTCCTGCATAGCTGCAAGAACCGTAAAGGCTGCCATTGACTTGCTGTTAACATAATGGTTACCAACCAAGTATTCTGATAGCTCTCCAAGGCTGTTGAAATGAGAACCCAGTAATTTTTGAGCCCATTCACAAACAAGTTGACAAGATGCCAAAAACAATTCATCCTCTTCACTACCTTCATCCTATAAAATTAACAAATAGATTCATTTATGGTACTCTGTTTCTTGTTATCTTACCACTGATTTTGGATATATTCTAAACTACGAAATTAATGACTGAATGATTGAAATGGTGTTTAACGTCATACTTTTCAGCACCAAACAGACTAATGTGAACATTAATATGTTAAATGTGATCTATGACTCATTGCATCAATTTCAATACACATTTTTGTTTTCCACCATAAAACATAGGTTTTCAGGCAATGTACATGTACCACAAGTTTACTAGCAGTTTCATCGTCCAATTTTTAAAGTCTAGATAGTGATAGTTTAATCTCTATGGTGTGTGTTCCATTATGCCAATGTATAAAATTCATTGTGGATAACACAAACAAGATTTCATGGCAAATTGCTTGCTAGAATAAAGTTTTGAAGTGTAGAATATTTTGTTACTGCAGAGACATTCTAATGCCAAAGAAATATTCGTTAGCACCACTTTTTGACCAATCATAATCAAAGAAATTTCCATTTTTCTTACAAAACATATTACGGCATCACACTAATTGAGGTCAAATTTATTTCCTTATGCATATATTTTTCTTGTCTTACAGAATTGACTATTTTCTTTTTAATTACATTAAATACAGAGGAATTAATAATGACATGTCAATTAACAACTGCTAACAGTACTTGGATGTACAATAAATATAGCTAGTATTAGTGTTGGTCAGATTCCTAAGCCAATATCATAATAATGTTGCAATGTCAAATACTACACATATTAGGCAGTGTAATCTATAACTTAAGTCACAGAAGTTCAAATTTTTTTTCATCAGGACAACACAATCTAAAGGCAGAAAACATTTGGTTGCTCTTCTCAAAAGTTCATAGCTGCAAATATTAAAATATTTCATAGGTTACCTTTATCTTTCTTGAACTAACTTCCAATTCTGGTAATGATGGTGGCTGAACTTCAAGTTTTTTCCGTAACCCACTGTAGCAATATGTTTGACTAGCTAAGGAAAAGAATTTTACAATACATACACACACAATAACAATAAGGAAGGTCATCTGTCCCAAGAAACTTTCTCGGCCAACAACGGGATTGAACCCTGGATCTCTTGGTTAGTGAGTCAGTGTACTACTCACTGAGCCACTGTGCAGCTCCTTCAAACCATAAACTTGGACATAACTTCATAATTTGCCACCCTGATTCTTTGAATAGTAGTCAAACAGGTCTCCTTAATAGCTCATGCATATCCCTTTATTTCTCATAAATAGATTTAAAAGTCAGAATGCAATTTGTGACAGAAAAAGAAAGTTTCTAGATAAGGGACTTCAGTGCATTCTACTTTCTGCCCATTTTATGTGAATAAACCAAGGGATGACAATACATCAACAATATATATGTAATTCATTATTTAGCAGTTAATTTTTTAAAACACAGAGAATTAACACATTACATTATCAACCATGAAAAAAACTAATTAGAGAGAAAGAGAAATAGGGTTTAACATCCACTCAACACAAACTAGGTCATTTCAGGACTAACACATGGTTTAATTTTATTTCAATAATTCCCTTGCGTGTAGGGTTCTTTAGCAGTGGGAGGAAACCGGAGGTCCTGGAGGAAACCCATGAGGTTGGACAGGCAACGCTACTCCTTGTCACGTACAACCGGCAAATCGAAACCATACTAGTTGACTCAATGAAAGACCTTATGATACAGCACGCACATGCTAACCATTCGGCCATCCAAGCCCCCCAATTAATTATAAAGGATATCTGGACTGTCCTCTTTGTCCAAGTCGTCTGGCTTTCACATTTGGAAATACACACTTCATAACTTTCCCAAAATCTGCTGGACATAAAAACTTCCTATCATGACTGTCACAGTACTCTCTGAAAGTTTAAATTAATGATTAAAATAAAAAATTTAAGAAAGATGAAATAAAATCCAATTGTTACCATTTAAATGGGCAAATTTCCACATAGATAAATCTCTATGAGAAATTAGTGACATTGACACTCGTTCAATTAAAGATTCATATCAAAACATCTGCATATGTATGATATTTTGCCTAGATCTAATATTTTACCATATTTATCGATGATTATATTATAAGGTGATATAACTGGGAGACCTCACTACAGCCTTTCTTTATGGTTTATATTTGTGTAGTCAAACTTCTGTCCACTACAAATTGATAGATAAATACATACTTATAATCATCATAAACTTCATGTTTCGGAACACAGATTTCACCGTCTTCTTCTAAATGACTTCTTATCCATGTAAAAGCTTGAGCTTGTTCTACTCTATTTGACGAATGTAGAAAAGAATTTGGTGTTCTAAAATGTATTTAAAAAGAATACAAATTACATAACATCTCATCCTTACTAAAAACATTGATATGACAGCTTTATTTACAAAATCTAAATATTCCACTGCTTTGAATTGAATATAAATTTTTTTATTCAAGGCAGTAGAATATTTCCCACAAGGTCATTTGGATCATAGTCTAGAATGCCATCAACCTCTCCGGGCGTTATACAACTAATATACATTATATGCATGCAGTTCAATCTGTGAACAAAAATGTCTGATAACTTTACTTTGGTTGATCTGTAACCACAATTTGAAGGTTCCTGATGTAACGCAAAAGGAAATCAGTTGTAACTTGCTGAAGTAAAGAGCTGTAATTTACTTACTGCCTCAAAACTTCTTCTGTAGCAGAACCTGTAGGAAGTTTCAGATATAATAGTAACTTTTCAACATCAGACAACTGGCTCACTTCACCCTGAAAATTTAAATTTATGAAACTAGAGATTAGTTACAGTACTAATAAAACAAAGCAATAGTAAATAGATTAAATAACAATGCCTCAATCCTGTACAAGCTCTGTTCATGTGAAACCGTACATGTAACTGATGTTGATGATTGTCATGAAAAATGGGTATGGACGGGCATCTTCAATAGAAGGCTTGATCTCGCTTTAACTACGTACATCTTATCAAGAACTTTATGTAATACCCTGCATATTTCGTCACTAATTTCTATTGGGTACAAGCCCAGCTTGTGAGCCTATTACAGATTCCTTGATCGTCGCGAATACCAAGCCTCACATTTTCAAGCTAAAATGTCTATCTGTGATAATCGATTTGCAAAGTATAACTTATACTTACCAAAATATTAGATATTCTATCTTTGCCCTCAAGACTGAAAAAAAAAAAAGGAGTAATTTCAGGAGAAAATAAATCTAATTAATTCTGCCAATGCATACAAAGAAATTTGAAATGAACCTTTTATTGTTCTGTGAAAAACATTATTTTAGTTAATAATTCATCAAAATTTTCCTGAAATATTCCAAGAAGCAGCAGGTTGAAAAGTCGTATATTTAAAAGGGGGATTGGATTGGATGGCCGAATGGTTAGCACTTGCACGCTGTATTAGAAGGTCTGTTGTACGTGACAAGGAATAGGGTCGCCTGTCCAACCTTGTGGGTTTTCTCCGGACCTCACACTGCTGAAGACCCCTATGCACCCCTATTAGGGTGGTCTAATTTGTGTCGAGTTGACGTTAAACTCTCTCTCTCTCTCTCTCTCCCTCTCTTCAATCAGTCAGGAGGTAATTGGTAGTTGACTGGCTAAGCGGATGTGGAGAGTTTGCTTAACACAGGATACATTGGACGTGGGCGTGGCCTGCCTGTGTTTTTGTTACCCATAAGCGATCGCCATGTTTCTTCTTCAAATTTAAAACAAGTATGGCAGTCGTTTAGGGTGTAACCTTTTTTTTATTTAATTATTTCTGTATTTTTGTAATCAGAGTTCAGCTTTAATGTTTGGCTTGAGAGTAGTAAGTTTATTGTTAAGATGATTATAAGGAGCTTGATAATAATGAAAGAAGTCAAATAAGTAATCAAGGCATTGTTTTAACGAAATTTTATAGATAAATATAGGCTACACTGATTAGAGCTATGTCGATTTACTAATGTCAGAATTTCCAATTTGTCTAGTCGAGGGTAAACATCGACAGTATGTTTTACTTCTAAGATTAATTTTAAGGCCATTGTTTGCAGTCGAGAAAGACGGTCAAGAGATTTAGCGTCACAACGGTCCCATACTGAGGAACAATAATCTATATGTGGTTGAAAGTGGGCATTATAGAAAAGGATTCAGAACGGAGTTGGAAGAATTTTTTTAATTTGACAGAGTTGAAAAACTCTCTGGCTTGATTTTTTAGAGATACATGTAAACTCGATATGATCTTTCCAAGTTAGATTATGATTGAGAAAAACACCTAATTACGTAATTTAATATTCAAAGTAGCAAGGAGGATATTTATTTTTTGTTGCATCATAATTAGCATAGTTTTTGTTTTCGAAATATTTAATCTCATATGGTTTTTATCACACCAGGCTAATACTATATTGGCATCAAGTTGAAGTTTGTATTCTAATTCTTTGACAGTAGACCCAGAGGTGGAGACGAATCCATGACCACTCGGACCAAGACCAGTCAGACCAACTGATAGACCACTCGGACCAAACAAAAAGACTACTTGGACCATACAACAAGACTACTCGTACCAAAGATAAGACCACTCGGACCAATAATAAAGTGTTGTTTTAATAAATTAATAATTGTGTTTGTTTTAATATGACTGCTTGGACCAATAATAAAGTGTTGTTTTAATAAATTGATAATTGTGTTTGTTTTAATACATGTGTATGCATCAGTTAAAACAACGATAACTGAGTAGTGATTAATTTGTATGTATCTGTACTCACCTGGGTTACTAGCTGCAATATTTGTGATAATTCTTATTAACAGCTACAACTGATACATTATTCGAGGCTTTGAGCAAGTAAAATTACGCTCAATTGCAAAATTTGCAACACATATCATCACAGTTTGCATGGAAATAAGTAATTACATGTATGTTACAAATACTGAAATCTTAATCTTATCTTACCGAGTGTGATTGTGGTTCGCGGACATTTTAAAAGGAAAAGAAATTTCCCATAGCAGTTGGGTTTAATCAAATCATATAATTATATGGTAAGGTTTCACCTTTATTTTAATTGGTTTATTATATGTTAAGCTATGTACAGTACAGTTTGGGGTCAGTGTAATTGAAAATTAACGAAGACATAGGTCAGTAACTTTTTTGTAGTCAAATGTCTACTGTGGCTGGAGCAAGACGGAAGACATTAGTAGTGGAACTATTTCTTCCCCGTTACATGCTAATCAAATTGATGAAGCACATCAAAGAAAAACAATTAAAGCTACGTTCCCAGAAAAGTATTTATCGGGTGGTTATTTCCAATAAAAGTATGGCAATTTTGGTATATATGGAAAAGTAGAAATATCCAATCTTACTAGAAAAATACTGGATTCCCTGAAAAACACTCATGGAGCGCATACAGGACAAAAATGTACAGGTTTCCCTAATCGACAGCCCGACGATTAGGAGTGTCTGCACGCGTGACATCAAGGGTTGCACGCGGAGCTTGAGCACTTGATGTACATGTTGATAAACTTTATGAAGAGTTAAACGTACAAACACTTTCTGAGATAAAAATCATGGAAAAAGACGCCGGCAGAGGATAATCCAAGAATTTAATTAGGCTTTGATATTTGTAATAAATAGTCAGTGATAAAGGTAACATCCTTTTTTCTATGCTATGAATTCTAATCCAACATCGTACCTGTTGTGTCACAAAACACAAACTAGGGCTGGCAATCGATCCTGTTTCAAGTATCGATTATCGCAGACCATCCGCCGATCAATAATCGATAATATCGGCAAATTATTTTGACTTACAATTGGTTTGAAAACAATCATAATTTGTACATGAATAACGAATTATATGCGAATTTATGGTGTGATATCATTCTGTATACATGTAGAATTTTTTTTGGGGCATTTGACTTTGACAATAAGATAATAGCATTCCACAATAAAACCAAGGTGTGGAAAGAAATTCAATCATCTTCGTTTGGAAGACAGAACCGCCACCGCTTGCCATATCTTTGTCGCTTGTGACCTGAACAATAATGAGTAAAATGTAGTTATTTCCTCTTCAGACATTTCTTCGCAAATTAACTGATAAGATAATAAAGGGAAAGTACGTGTAGGACTTAGAAACAGAGAAGACGAAAGAAATGAAGAGTTAATATAAGGGGCAAAACTGAATGGTACATGAAACCATTGGCTCTCATCATGACATAAACGGCCGACATTTCTCACCGGTGGCGTCTCGAGTGAAAAAACAAAACGTGTGTGTTTTATTATGACTATTCTGTTTAATTACAGTTCCAGGTCTAAGCACACGTTGCAAAGAATACAGTAATAAGGATTATTTTTATGGACTTCCTCTTACAAGTGAAGTATCTATAATTGCGCGATAATCGATATTTTAAAACTGTATCGATAATCGATTTTCAAAACGTTTACCGACGATTATCGGCAATATCAATATTTTCCGCCAGCCGTAACACAAACATGACCTCTTTTGATCAAGTTTTTATAGCAGGGTATTCCCTAACAATTGCAATGTTTTGAGAAGGATTTGAAGCAAAATTATGATAAATTAATTAGTTTGAATATGTTTTTAGTCCGAATATATCAGCAAATCACCCAGTTTGTACCAGGGAATGTATCTTTAAATTGTTGATGTAATAATATGAAGTAAGTTATGTATATACTCACCTATAAATTATTCATCTCTTTGTATTGTGATTTACTAATAAATAACATATTGTCTGTATTTTATTTTTAAAATGAACAAGTCAAGCCTTACAATATAATTTAATTGGTTTGAGTGGTCCTTTGGGTTGGTCCGAGTAGCAAAGATAAATATTGGTCCGAGTGGTCTTACAATATAAATTAATTGGTCCGAGTGGCTTTTTGGTTTGGTCCGAGTAGTCTTTTGGGTTGGCCCGAGTGGTCCCTATTTTGGTCCGACTGGTCTTTTTTGGGTCCGAGTGGTCTTGGTCCGAGTGGTCTGGATATTGGTCCGAGTGGTCTTACAATATAAATTAATTGGTCCGAGTGGCTTTTTGGTTTGGTCCGAGTAGTCTTTTGGATTGGTCCGAGTGGTCCCTATTTTGGTCCGACTGGTCTTTTTTTGGTCCGAGTGGTCTTTGGTCCGAGTGGTCTGGATACCGTGTAGACGGTTGTGTCATCCGCAAAGAGGTCAGTTTTAGAGGATAGGTATAAAGGTAAATCATTTATAAAAATATTAAATAATATGGGTCCTAATATTGATCCTTAGATTACACCGTGATAAATAGGTTTATTTTCAGATAATATGCCATTAACCGACGTGCACCATCTTATTTAATAAATAAAATGATAACTTAATATAGGTACCGGTAGCTAAATAATTTTCTATTACAAATAAAAAAAATATAATGTCATTAAGAATGCCTATTATTCATACTATATCTACAGCACTATACATGACATACTGTATGCAGTATATATATATATATATATACATGTATATATATGAGGCATGCACATTTCTTATAATGAATAAAATAATAATCAATCCTGGTAGATTAGACCAAATTTATTACAAATATCAAAATCATAATGTCTTTAATAATATCTACTATCCATTCATACATGTACTACATGTGTTTTTGTCCAATATTGTAACCAAAGTAATTTCATCTTGACATTTTAGAATAGAATAAGCCTTAAGTCTGACTCATCCAATAAATTTGCTGTCAGATTCCAATTCCTTAATGACAGAGGGATATACTGTGTTCTTATTTCACTATCCTTTCTACATTTACATGATATTCATCTGTAATCTTGATTTTTTAATGAAACATAGCTAGAAATGTCAAATGCATTATCATTGTAATAGTTTACCCTAGCTGTCAGTGTCAGACACACGCCAGACAGCACCAGACTGGCTTTCGTTGCCCTTGTGTACTCTGTCAGAAGGAATGAAATTATTTAAATACTACAATAAAACTAACCTAACAGAGGTTTCAATTCGTTCTTCGATGTTTCCAAGCTTGCGTTTGGCCTGTGCATCCCCAGGTCGAGTTGTCATCTCTATCCCATTATTGCCAATCAAATTCTTCCCACCTTCATTTTCATTGTAAACACACTGGTGTTGTCCGTCGGATCCGTCTACTTCGCTGTTCTCCGAGTCAATTTTCTGCCATTGTGGACAATTATTATTTACTAAGTCATTATTTCTATCATTTACATCGCTACAGTCCTGATTCATAGTATTTTAAGATAGAAATCTAGAGTTAAACATGATAAACATTACACATGTTGATTTTACATTCAGAAATGTACAATGCCACTGCTGTGCGCATGCGTAAGTAATGTAGTGAGGGCACCTGCCAATGTCGTAAAACAACAGACATGTTATTTTGTACAAATGCTCGGGCAGTACGCCTACGTGACTGACAGTTATTATTCTACAGATTTTCAAGTGATAGGAATCTAATTTTAAACATAGCGTAAGTGTTTATTGTTGTATAGTAAATTATTCAAAAATATAAAAATTACGACATTATTGTTTACGTTCGAAACAAGATGGCTACAAGAAATGAAAATGTAAAAATTCTTTTCTATTTATTTTATTTTTTATAATATGTGGTTCTATTTCTAAATTATGGGTGCAAGCTGTTTCGTACTTAGTTCATTCGTACCTCACTTCGTGTACACAGTACGGTACCTCAAATCACAGGAATCTGATCACCTATCCGTATATTCTTCGAAAAAAAGTAGGGGATATTGAAATGCAAATACCTATCTATGCAGGTTGTGATATGATAAATAGTCATGGACACTTGACATGCTTTGAGAGTATGTTCACAGATGAAGAACTTATCGCCCTAGCATACGAGAACGTAACTAAAAACGCTGAGATATACTGATGTGCTTGTTTTTAGCTACGATTGGATGCCTTTAGATAACAAACCTTATCTCTCAACCCTCCGTGTTTTGAGATAAGAAATGGTGCTATTAACTTCAACGTAGCGCATGCGGGAGCGATTCGCACCCGACATTGTAAACAAAATTGACAATATTTTTAATCAAAACTACGAGTGGCAAACTCAATTTCTTTATTAATGTATGTACCATCTTAAAAATAAGTTAATTTTATACTATTAGTACTTATTACACATACGCAGTCCAATCTACTGAAACAACATTCATTTATCAGCAAATATTGACAATAAAGTAAATCAAGCGTTGTTTTTATCAAAATTGATTCGGACGTTCATAATTACGCCATATTTCTACTGATCAGATGGGTACTTTGATTGGCTATTGCACACGAGGTCCCGCTTTATGTGTTACAGACGTAAATTTAAAATGTCGGAAAAAGCAATCTACTGTCGCTTTGATTTAAAAAGAGGGGATTTGTACCCGTTTCAGGTAGGATTATATGCTTAATTGTAGTTGAGTGTGGCAGAAATATTATAAATAACAATAACCAATCGTTGTTTTGATTAAAAATATTGTCAATTTTGTTTACAAATGCAGGGTGCGAATCGCTCCCTCATGTGCTACATTGAAGGTAATAGCATCATCTCTTATCTCGAAACACGGAGGGTTGAGAGATAAGGTTTGTTATCTATTATCGCCCCAACAGAACCACTGAGCTGCACATGCGAAACACAATAGCGCCATACACGTGGGAGGGGTTCATTCAATTGTCAAATTTGACACTTCAAGGAAGGGTTGATGAAAACTGACGCGTGCTGGTTTATCTATCCATGTTTGCTTTCCTACCGGTTCTTGCATAAGATTTACTGTTTAGTGTATCTTTGCTTCAGTGTGTTATGTTTTATTTGATCTGATCGGGAGACGTGTTCGGCGACGACAACATCACCCACAACACTGCAAGAATTAGCTGTGGCACTGCAAGAGGAGTGGGTCAGATTGCCCCAAATCGTGATTGGACGGTTGATTAGGAGCATGCCACGATGAATTGCTGAGGATTGGTGGAGCAATTACTCATTATTAAGAAAAAATCAAAAAGGTTCATTTTCACTTTTGACAGTGTATGGGGCCATCAGATAAGCCGGCCATATGAACTGGTTATGTTCATGTGTAGGCAATTGGCCTGTTATTAACATACAATTGTTACCTCTAATAAAAACTGCAGTGTATTTCCGCAGTTTTGTATTGTTTCTATAGCCCCTACTTTTTTTGAAGAGTATATATATGCATACACCATACTCAACAAGACAATAATAAAGGCAGTGGCTATTGTTACTACAAGTCGTAAAAATAGTCCTCAGACTATTGTTATGACGATGCTTTCAGAGCCCTCCATCGGTGAAGTTAAAAACTGAATAGTCGTAAAAATAGTCCTCTGAATCAATGGATTTCAACTTCACTACAGGCCCGGATCCAGGGGCCCATGCCATGCCCCCCCCCCCTCAGCCCACGCCACTAATGCACTCTGATGATTATCCTTTGTATCCTTTGCTCCAATGTATCCCCCCCCCCCCTGACTAAATCCTGGATCCGTGCCTGACTAGGGTTAGGGTTAACCCTAAACTTTGCCAATGGAGGGCTCTAAAAGCATCATCGTAACAATAGTCTGAGGCTTATTTTTACGACTTGTCATAACAATAGCCATTGCCTATAATAAAAACAAGAACAGGAATGCAATGCCTGTTGAAGCCTCAAATTTACCTGCTCTCGCTTCGGCTCGTTTTTTTTTCAACAGTTCTTAATGTCAGGCAATCTAACCTCTGTCGATTCACTCAGATATGTTATTTCTTCAATCTAGCCATTTTGATTTTCATAAATACTCTCCACAAAACGATATCATAGCCACTTGTTTCCAATATTTACATTATTTTCGTTCGTTAACGTAGTAGGATGCCCTACAAAAAGTATGTTAGTAGGCCAATATTAAAATTAAATTTTATTGTGTATACTAACTAGCATACACAGCTTCGTACTTGGCCCAAATTCGACTGGGTCCCTAATTTGCTGAGGGGCCTAATTCACCCAGACCCAAATTAGACCTGGGCCCAAATTCGGTGGCCTAAAACATGCTGATTAATTGAGTAATTTGATACAAGATATGTGGGCGGGGGGGGGGCTTGGCAACAAAGAAATATTCGCCCAAGGCCCAGGCCCAATTCGCTATTGGTACAAATTCGATGGCCTAAAACATTAGCGTGGTCATGCTGGTTAAGCCGATACCGTACCAGAGTATGTGGGGGTGATGATACACACATACATACATACACACTTTGATTTTATTTATATAGATGATGATGATGATGATGTATCATAATTATTTGCCATCATAATGTTTATTGATCATTGTACATGTTTATATATATATTGTATGATTCCCTTAATGGGTGCTTCGGTACAATAAACGAAACCTTATCTTACCTGTAGTCAATCACAACTCTATGCCAATGGCAATGCCTATGATGAATAATAATTAAATCAAACAAACATCCTTTAGAAAAGTGATATTTGATTATAATCCTATGAGTTTTTGTCAGGATGGAGGAATCATGTGAGCAAACAAACATGGTCAGAAGTCAGTCAGTGCTGCCCTAAGAACTGATAATCAGACCAGTCGAGTTATTCACAAAATTTGTCTGATGAACCCTACATAGACTGATATTACAATCTGTCCTATTTTTTTTTAACACTATAGATTTTACCAGGGATAACTTGAATGGTCACCTGTACTGTCAATGCAGCTTGGAAAGATATCAGTAATATGGTATCCGCTAAGTGTTTGCCTGACAAAATGGTGACTTGCTGATGATGAATTAGGTTGTCGGCAATAAAGAATCCTTGGTGTGTGTAGACCTTTAGTTGCTAGTAATCATTCAGTCAAGTACAAGTAAACTCATCTACAATAGTTAACGTAATAGTGCCAACAAGTCATCTACAAATAATATTTTTATATCCAAATCATAGCTCCAGTTACATTGAAGTTGTGTCAGGTGTCATACCTATGGCAGTTTTAGCGATATGTTGACAGTCTACAAAACATGATATATAATGTATAAATGTGTCAGGGGAGAATGTTAAATACATATATTCATTTTCATAATAGGGCGCAATACGCTGTGGGTCCGACCGGTGATTTCTCGGCCGTCCCTAATCGGCGCGTGGGGCGAGGTGGACTTCGTGGTCCTGCCTCGTTTTTCTCCTTCATGGGAGAGAACCCACCGCATTTGCATGTAATAAACCAAGAAGTAGTAAATCCATAAAGTTGTGTTCTTATGAATATTTTACCTGTACTTTTAAATGTCATTTAAGGATACATATTAATTTGCATATAATTGTTTCATTGATTTTTGATCAATTGATTTATCTACAGCTCCGAAATGCAAGAGCATCAAGTGCTAAAAAATCAAATAATAATGCTCAAAGCACTACAAAAAGTAAAAGTGCAGGAGATATTTTGAGTAGAGAAGAAGAATACAAGTAAGTTCAGACTAGACTAACTGCAGGATTTCTTTTAAAATTATTGTCGACATATATGGTAATTTGATTATTAGAGCAATGCCATACATTCCAGATATAAAAGATATGATATACAGGTACAATATAATTCGGAAAATTGTTATGAAGTTTTTTGGGTGTAAATGATATTTCATTTTAAATTAATAAGTTGAATGATATTTTACTATGAGAAATAATTTGGTGCAATTTAGTACTTTGAATGAACCATATCTCTTTTTTTGTCAACAAGAGATATTTTAATTTATTATCTATTGTGTGCTTTAATTTATGTAACTCATTTATTTTATGAAGACGATTGAATGAAGAACTGGAAGCAAAAACAGCAAGTCTTGTTAGAGAAGCAGAACAGGTTATGGTACGTAAAAACTACTTATATACATGACTGCAATCAAATGTTCAAGTAACATTAACTAACTTACTAACATATTGAGACAATATACCTATGTACATACATAATGTTTTTTTAAATTATTGAGATTAACTCATTTCCTTATAGAGGGGACAAGAAGCTACATTATCTAGATCAAGATTGTTAGACAACATTAGCCCAAATGATTTTCTTAAGTAAGTGTTATAATAAATTTAATTATACATGTATGAATAGTATATCTTTTGCATTGAAATTTGTTCATATCAATTGTTTATTTGGATTTTAAACTAACACTGTTATACTTTTAATTGAAAATAAGAGATGCAGGGTAAGCATTTAAATTTATGTTCAGACATGCATGATTTTATAATTGTATATTACACTACTCATTTATGAAGTGCATAATTTCATGTGCATCAAGTTATTCAAAGATTCTGACAATGAATTAACAGGCCACAATAATAATTTGAAGTACATCAAATATTTCAGAGATTTTGATGATGAATTAACAGGTCGCAACGAAGACACCAAACAAAAGGTAAGATGATATAATTCAAGTAAAGATAACATTTTTAAAAGATCAATTGTTTTTTAGATATTAAATAGTGTTGATTCGTTAATGTTATTTAATGTTTCTTGTATCTCATGTTTGTTAATTATTTTACTGGGTTTCAGGCTTCCGGTCGACCAGAATCAAAGACTTCTAATTCAAGACCGCAATCGCAGAACAAGAAACCTCCATCAGCAAGGTTATTTTTTTTTAACAATCACAGTATAATCTAGTGTACATGTAATAAAAAGAAACAAAATCAGAGCCTCCCACCAGACAATAAAGATCACTCCAGTCCTGTTCATACTGCTATTTTCTTGATCCACAAAAACATGTCTAATGCTCAAGATTGCCCATTTTCTTTAATTTTTTCCACAAAGCAAACCCAGTCAAGAGCCCTGGGCATTTTTTTGTAAATGTGATATTTAAATTTATCCTTAATATGGGTAAACTTTCTTACCTTGGGCTCCTGTCAAAAATTATACGTGACAAAGATGTATTCTCATGCTTTCTGGATGGATTTAACAGAAAATAAAATGAATATGGAAAAAAACAGGTGCATTAATCTATACACGTCATTATACTCAAGTTCAATTGATGCTGCAATAGAATATACTTCCAGAAATTCATTATGATATACAGTTTGGACTTCAGCCGTACCTGTACATTTACCATTACTGTATTGCTCAGCCCCACTTTCTTGAAAGTATTGATCCATTATTGTTATTTCTATAATGTCTTTCTTTTACCCCGGAATGGGTAGACTGTAATACATAGCACAAGACACAAACACAAAGCCAAGTGATTATTGGTTAATAATCATCAAAACGTGTTAATTGGCTTTAAATCTCTCATTCAATGTGTGTTTTTATTGAATTATTGTGTTGGAAACTAAATTCTTGAATTTAAATCCATTGACAGAAACAGGAGCAAAGTTTCAGCTAAGATAAATAAAGCTGACGATGTGGCCGTACCAGATGAAACATTTTTAACAGATTTCAAGGATTTTTCTTTGACTAATACCATATCTAATATAGAGGGTCAACCCTATCATTCTGATGATGAAGATGATGACATTCTACCTCAAGCTGCAGCAGATATGGGTTCAGGTTAATATGTCATGCTAATTTTTAATTATATTTGTTGCCTTTAAAAATCCAGATTTTGGCAAAATGCAGGGACTATCTTGATATTTGGTACCATTTCCACCACTTTTGTGACCTAAGAAGAAAAGTAAGTCTTATATTGACAATGGTCGGTGATGGACATGTTTTATATAATAATGGCTACAGTAGCAACCGTTCATTGACAGCAATCTGATTTTGTTAAGACTTTAGAGTATAGAGATAATTCTGATATCCAAAATTAAGTAACTATTTAGGCTTGTTAGTAGGACTGTTTAGTAGACCACATAAATCTATTTATAAAAAAAAACTATTAGTACATTGTACCAAAGATTATTAATCATTGTCATAAGTGCTAGGATGAGTTGGGTAGCTGAATGTAGATCACAACATTTTGATTTCTGGTTTCTTTAAGATGAGAAGTAGTTCCAATGTGTGGGTTTTCTCTAAGTTCTGCCAAATTTGAAAAATGGACTTACAAGTCCCTCAACAAACTGAATATTTTATATGGGTGCATTTTGCATGGGATTACCATAAGTAGGCCTGTACAGTTTTCTAGGCTGAGTATATAGTTATATCTTATAATTAATATTTCAGAGGCTACTATCAGATTTCTAAAAGCAAAGTTGAGAGTAATGCAAGAAGAATTAGATAGATTAAGCCGTGAATGTAGCAAAAAGGTACTGTTGTGTCATTCTTATCCTTTTTGAAGTTCATACATTTTATTTATAATGAAATTAATAGTTGCTAAGCATTTCATTTCATTTCATCTTAGAGATTTGCACATTAATTTTCACAATTTCATGAAGGTTGGCGATAAAAATACAAAATTAACTTTGAGGGTGTAATATACACTAAATATCGAATAATGATTAGTCATGAGTTTATAGGAATTAAATGTTTGACATTTTCTTATAAGGAAGAAGAAAATCAACAAGTGGTCTCTCGATCAAAAGAGACGGAAGAGGAGAAAAATAGATTACATCGAACTGTTGCCTCACAGCAAACACAGATAGATAAATATAAAAAAATTGCAGAAGATGCTAAAAGTGTTTCAGATAGTCTTCAAAATCAACTGTCTGCTCTTCGCAAGGTTATCAAATTTTATTTTAATTGTTGGAATTTTATCCCATTATTTCATATTTCAAACTCTGAAAATATATTACCCTACCATTGTTCAGAAGATTATTTGTATTGTTAACATTTTACTGACAATAACCTTTAAAACGTAAGGTCCGTCAAAAAGTAATGTGGAGTGGTTTTTCTATTCCCAGCTTGTATGTGACAAGGAGTAGGGTCACCTGTCCAATCTGGGGGTTTTTCTCTGGGTTCTCCAATGTCCTCCCACTGCTAAATACCCCTAAGTGTGAGCAAAGTATTGAAATAAAATTGAACCAAAATAACCAGGTGTGTGTCCAGTGAAAGTTAAACCCATCTCTCTCTCTCTTTATAATTGTAGAGTAATATCTAGGGCTGTAATCCCACTCTGAGAGTCGATCTATGAGTTATTTGATTGTCAGTTCTTGAAATCCAAAACATACTGTGATGTTCTTACATCTGTGTCTCTTCAATGGTAATATTTTTGCTAAAAATTTCGGTGTTATATTGATTATATGTTACACTGAACTTTACTGAACCCAATACCAGTACCCAAGTACAGTTGGGTAGGCTGGAAATACAGGGATATGGAGTATGGATAAAATATGCTATTGCGAGGTGACACACCTTACAGCTTACACCTATATGCACTGTAATTCATCTTGTAGGAAAATGAACAAATGAAAAGAACACAGAAACAACACACAGCCAATCAAAGTGCCACAGAAGTTCGCTTGAACAGAGCGTTAGAAGAAATAGAAAGATATAAGGAACAGTTACTGAAAGCCAAATCTTCATCAAAAGTAAGACTGAATTAGCTTTTAGGTCATGGCTGATCTGACTTTCATTGACAATTGTTATTAATGTTTCTGTGTTTATTTTTATGTGGTCTCCCTCTATGACAAAATAAGCATGCTTATAAACCTATAGGAAGCCACAGTGGCTAAGTGGGTAAGACGCTGGCTCGTTAGCCTGGAGGTCGCATGTTTGATCCCTGCATTGGGCGAGAAAGTTCATTGGGATTTTCCGACGTGGTTTCCCCTTGTCAGTGGTGCAGGACAGAGGGCCTGACAAGGACAGCTGTCTAGTTGTTCAGATGTGATGAAAAAATGAGGTCCTGTGTATACATTGGCATGCATGTAAAAGATCCCCTCATTAGCCAAATATAGGAGCAGAACAGTAAGACGTTAAAACTTCATTTCATTTATAAACCTGTAACGGTAAATCTCTTTGATCTACAGAATTCGGAAGTCTACAAGGGCATTGCCTGTCCATATATATACGTTCCATGGATATATACAGGGGAATTTGGGGTTATTCTTCTGGAAGTTTTTCTTTAAATCCAGCCACGGGTTATTCTTCCAGGGTAGGGTTTTTTTCCATAAGAAAACACGATATAAGGTTTTTCTCACTGGAATATTCTGATTTTACGTACATTTAATTAAACATAGATGGTTTATAAGCAAGATAAAGCCCTCGACTTCGGTTATGCTGGGGAGCATAACCTCAGCATAACCTCACTCTGTGCTTTATCCCACACGTAAAACTTAACAATAATATCTATGACCTCTTACATTAGTCCTTTTTTTCTCCCGAATCAATGAATATTACAAAGTAATGAATAGATAATTACATGTACAGATAATTTTGTATTTTCTAACAACTTATCTCTTTAATTTTTATTAAAAAAGTGTGTAAATCTATTATATTTACAGACAATATTTTATTTCATACAAATGGAAATTCTATGGAATGGAAATCTTTTTATAAATAAAATAAATTGAATGTTGATACAGAATGTTACAATCAGGATTAGAGACTCTGAGAAAATTGGGAGACTAAAGGGGGAATAACTCATTATGTTTTAATGTTCACCTCTGGGATATTTCTCTGTTTTGTTATACATGTATATATATATATGCAATTTGTGGTTTCCTTACAATAACTATGGCTTATATAACAATGGTGTAATTATCTAGTGTATTACTTCTTAGTTTACCTTAAAAAAAGCCATATACTATCATCATTTTCATGTCCCGATTTATTTCCTCATTACTTCAACCAAAAAAGTTTTGAGTAATCCATCACACGATTACCAAAAATGTTTTAAGTAATCCGTCACATGATTTGCATACAATTAACACTGAATAATCCTGCCTTCAATCAGTGGGTGTTAACCAACACACAATCAACTCTGACAAGCAATCATGAATCAATTATCTGTAGTTGTAATTTTAGAAAAGACGATGCAGCAAGTCGCTTTAATTTCCTTTCAGGTTGGATTCATTTAGTAACACATCTTTATGGGACGGGGGTTTATAGTAATCTTTTGTGATGTAACTCAGGTAAAAGCATGTAATAAACATCATAATTTTCAGGATGTTACTGATCAAGAAAAGAAGAAGGTTGAACAATTGATGAATGAAAATAGACTGTTACAAAAACAGAAAAATGAATTGATGACAGGATTCAAAAAACAATTAAAACTGATAGATGTATTAAAACGACAAAAGGTTTGGAATGAATTTTCTTTTTTAAAAAAGGACCCACATGGCTCACTAACCTGGAGGTCTGGTGTTATAACCCAATATTGGCCGAGAAAGTTCCCCTTGATTCTCAAGGATGGTTTTTCCCTTGATAGTTGTCCAGGACAAAGAACCTGGAAAAGATAGTGTCTAGTTGTTCAGATGGTACAGAACCCTTTACAGTTGGAATTCGAAATAAAGAGTAGGCTGTAGTGCCTAAATTTTCCTCATAGCACACTGTATGGTGTACACCCATCTTCATTAGCCCAGTCGGTGCTGAAAAGTAGGACATTAGATCCCATTTCATTTCATTTCTTTAAAAATGTATAAATTCTTGACAATCCACATCATATTGATAACTGTCTTGTGTAAATGTATTTTTATAGTAACATATGTACGTAATAATTCTATTTCATCCAAGCTAATTTATATTTTTAGATGCATATTGAAGCTGCTAAGATGTTACAGTTTTCTGAAGAAGAATTTGTTAAAGCCTTAGAATGGGGAAATTAATATTTGTTAACATGTCATTTCATTTTTTTTATCATTTTTTAAACATTAAAAATTTGCAATTAAATTATTTCTTGTATGTTTGTTTTTGTCTAGACAGTAAGATAATGTTAAGGAAGGAAGTTCATGAACTGTCAATGGCTCTGATTTAATGTCATAAATATCTTTCGTTGACAAGAAAGCTTTTAATTTGTCTACATAATTTATAGTCGAGCTGGAAATATGAAAGAATATTTTGTGTGTGTGTGTGTTGGGGCGCTTTCCTAATTTTGCACATCTCTGTAGTCTTGAAAGGATTTTGGGTAAATTCTTCGAATACATCCACAACAAGTTTGAAAATACAACAATTCAGGTGTAAAAAGTAAATATTATTTTACCCATTCAAAAATGGTAGTCATCAACCACCAAAAATAGAAATTCATTGATGTTCCAGTCATGATAGATGGTAGACCTGGATAATTGTGTCGCAGAGGGAAATCCTTCTGGTCACAGGACTTAATTGGGATACGTCGTCCAGTGTGAAACTGTTGTTGGATGCAGCCATGATTGTTTACAGCGGATCACGTCATCGATGTGTGCGCCATAATTTATCTAGGTCAGGAAAACCTTCTCGTTTGCTATAAATAGTTTTTTCTTTCCGCTTATATCTCCATCATTACAAACGATCAGACAGTTATGTGTCCTTGGGGTATATTACACATGGAACAAGTATGCAAAGTCTTAATAAGATTGGAGCTGAATAAAAAAAACTAAGCCAACATTGTGAGCTTTTTCATCTTTATATATCCTAACTGAAGCCCACTCCTGCAAATGACTTTTAGATGTGAGCATATCCAAAAAAATCTGAGGGTAACTTTATGCACTCGTTTTGTCTACATGAAGTGAATAATTATAGCCTAAGTTATCCAGGCAATATTTAAAGATAGGTTGCCAGGCAACAAAACATACACCCACAGCAGCTATATCGTCCGGGCAGTCAAAAAGAGTTGTCGCGTATTTTGACTTTTTTCAGTAATACATTAAAATCTGATTAAGAGTAACAACTCATTAAGTAATTATCAGAAAACTATTAGAATTTGTTTGGTTTTTATAAAGTTCTGTCCCATGCTACCGTTTAGTATACGAAACTTTTAACATCATGGATTTAGATGTTTCAAGTCATAAAGATTCATTGAAAGTCAATATACTTGTTCATCTCAAGACCTTTTAAAAACTCTGTGTTATCAATCTGAAGTCAATCAGATGATAACTTTAGCCTCTAGAGCGTCACAAGATTTTTCATAACTCTGTCAGTAATTATCCGAAATCGTTGAAAATCAATAGGCTTCTTCGTCTCATGACCTTCAACACTGTGTATAAATTTAAAGTCAATCGGATATTAACTTTAGCCTCTAGAGCGTCCACAAGATTTTTCAAAGTGATCAAGGGCCATAACTCTGGCCGTTATTATCGGAAATCACTGAAAATCAATAGGCTTTTTAGTCTCATGACCTTAAACACTGTGTATAAGTTATAAGTCAATCGGATATTAACTTTAGCCTCTAGAGCGTCCACAAGATTTTTGAAAGCGATCAAGGGCCATAACTCTGGCAGTAATTATCGGAAATCACTGAAAATCAATAGGCTTCTTCGTCTCATGACCTTAAACACTGTGTATAAATTTAAAGTCAATCGGATATTAACTTTAGCCTCTAGACAGACGGGGGCGACAACAATATATATGACCACATTTCAATGTGGGCGAATAAAAATACTGATATAATTAAAATGTCAAGTTATTTCCTACTTCAAGTTACTTCCTACTTAATTCTTCAGTTGATAACTTGTGAAAGCAGAAATCAAATTTACATTACATATTTTCATTGTACTAGTGTCTGAAATCATCAGTGAAATATCCAAAGAAAATCAAATTCGTCGTCACTACAATATCTGGTGAAACATGACATCACAGTTTAGAGGATACAGCTATCATTGTTAGGTCGAGAATTACTATTGTGGTGGAGGGTTCATAAGTCATTTCCGTAAAATGTTGCACTTAAATGATCATCTTTACAATAGATTTTTCTGTTTAACTACAATTTTTTATTATCACAGCATTCTCATCTTGCAAGTCAACATTTTATGTTTATAATAGTACAATAACTTCTCATGTAACTGAACGAGTAAAACTCAACATAATCATGTTATGAAAAAAAATGCCATGTATTGTGGTATCATTAGTTTTATGTTGTCTTCTTATTGTTACTGATATTAATTAGGCTACAAAACTAATAAAATTTAACACACGAAAGATGATACACTTTGTCCACTGTATAGAGTAATCTCCATAGCACTTATTAAACTGTTCAATGAACAATGGGATCTCTCAGTTCTCTTTAATCAGACGTAGAGATGAATCGTAGGCTTTTTTACTGTATTCTCTAGCTTTTGATGGGGCATTTGATAGCACTGAGAAGGTCTTTTTCACACCTTCAAAAAATAGAAATGATAAGACATTTAGAATCATAGCTAAATATTCCAGTGACGTTAATAAATAAACCAGCGGCTGCCAGGCAGGATACGCCCACATTTTCGAGAGATGGATAGAGAACAAGCTAACAAGAAAGTGATTTTTCCTACAATCAAGGGCCATAATTCAGGAAATTACAATTCGATATACGCATATATCGAAAGGAACTGAGATCTTTGTGTTATAAACTTACATTTCAAGTTTCAACAAAATCGGATAAAAATTGTGACCTCTATAGGGTCCACAACCTTGATATACCATATTTTTACGCTATTTGAGAACGAACGGCGGCCATTTTGTCTGTCAATTTTGGGGCGATTTTCACAAAATTCAAACTCAACTGTCCTTACGGTGGAACGGTAATATAATAATACGTTTTTTTAAATCGGATAAAAATTATGACCTCTAATGGGTCCACAAGCTAAAAACATGATTTTTCGTACAATCAGGGGCCATAATTCAGGAAGTTACGGTCCGATATGGGCAAATATTGAAAGGAACCGAGATCTTTGGGTTATAAACTTATATTTCAAGTTTCAACAAAATCGGATTATAATTGTGACCTCTATAGGGCCCACAACCTTGATATACCATATTTTTACGCTATTTGAGAATGAACGGCGGCCATTTTGTCTGTCAATTTTGGGCCGATTTTCATGAAATTCAAACTCAGTTGTCCTTAGGGTGTAACGGTGATATAATAATACGTTTTTTTAAATCGGATAAAAATTATGACCTCTATAGGGTCCACAAGCTAAAAACGCGATTTTTCGTACAATCAGGGGCCATAATTCAGGAAATTACGGTCCGATATGCGCGAATATCTAAAGGAACCGAGATCTTTGGGTTATAGACTTACATTTCAAGTTTCAACAAAATTGGATAAAAATTGTGACCTCTATAGGGTCCACAACCTTGATATACCATTTTCTTACGCTATTTGAGAACGAACGGCGGCCATTTTGTCTGTCAATTTTGGGCCGATTTTCACGAAATTCGAATTCAGTCGTCCATAGGGTGTAATGGTGATATAATAATACGTTTTTTTAAATCGGGTAAAAATTATGACTTCTATAGGGTCCACAAGCTAAAAACGTGATTTTTCGTACAATCAGGGGCCATAATTCAGGAAGTTATGGTCCGATATCTACGAATATCGAGATCTTTGGGTTATAAACTTACATTTCAAGTTTCAACAAAATTGGATAAAAATTGTGACCCCTATAGGGTCCACATTCCACAACCTTGATATACCATATTCTTACGCTATTTGGGAACGAACGGCGGCCATTTTGTCTGTCAATTTTGGGCCAATTTTCACGAAATTCGAACTCAGTAATCCTTAGGGTGTAACAGTGATATAATAGAACGATTTTTTAAATCGGATAAAAATTATGACTTCTATAGGGTCCACAAGCTAAAAACGTGATTTTTCGTACAATCAGGGGCCATAATTCAGGAAGTTACTGTCCGATATGCGCAAATATCGAAAGGAACTGAGATCTTTGGGTTATAAACTTACATTTCAAGTTTCAACAAAATCGGATAAAAATTGTGACCTCTATAGGGTCCACAAGCTAAAAACGTGATTTTTCGTACAAACAGGGCCATAATCCATGAAGTTTCGATCCGATACATGCCAATATCGAAAGCAGCCGAGATCTTTTGGGGATAAACCTATATTTCAAGTTTCAAACAATTGTGGACGGACGGACTGGGGCGACGGCATAATACGTCCACATGAAAATGTGGGCGTATAAAAACACAACACAATTTATACCTGTATGAATAATAATCACCAGTTTGTACAAATATTTTGTTGTTTGGGAGCTGCAGGGACTCACTAATCAGGAAGTTAGGGATTTGATCCCAGTGTTGACCAAGAAAGTTTCTCAAGATTTTCTAGCAAGGACAGCATCTACTTATTTGGTTCAACCAAAAAACCGGTGACCCATGTACACATTGGCATGTACATAAAAGAACTCTTGACAGTTGGAATTCAAACCAGCGGTTGCCAGATAAGATACGACAGACAGAAATGAAATGGGGTTAACGTCCTACTGTTCTGCTCTGAACTGGGCTAATGAAGACCAGCATATGCCATATGTGCTATGAGGGAAATTTTGCCCAGACAACAGCACTACGGCCTACTCTTATATCGAATTCCAACTGTCAAGGGATCTTTTACGTGCATGTCAATGTGTACACAGGACCTCGGTTTCTCATACCATCTGAATGACTAGACCTCTGTCCTGTATCACTGACAAGGGGGAACCATGCCAGAAAATCTGGATAAACTTTCTCATCCAATGCAAGGATCGAACACCCGACCTCCAGGCTAGCAAGTCGGCGCCTAGAGTCAGCAACACAACATGCTGATAAAAATTTGTTCCCTTCTGCTAAACGGCTTTGGAGGATGCCATCGGGGTCTAGATGTCGGGTGGCGTACGGATTTACATGGCTTGGCCATATATGACGAAACGAAATTAAGGTAAGCTTGGGTGGAGAAAAATTAGAATCGTTGAAAAGCTGAGAAACTTCAGTCAATTATTGCTTTGCCTAGCCCAATTACAATCAAATTTTTTCAAAAATTTCAATTTCATTTTGTCTTATATGGCCGAGTTGCGCAAATTTGTGCGCTGCCCTGTATTTGGATTTCAATGGCGTTAGCCAGGTCGTTTGGCGGAGGGGGGCGTATTTTTAACAGCATGTTGTGAACATACTGCTAATCCCACTTAGGCAGAGGAAAAGATAGGTTGCCAGGCAACGAAACATACCCCCACAGCAGCTATATCGTCCGGGCAGTCAACAAGAGTTGTCGCATATTTTTACTTTTTTCGGTAATGAAACATTTATAATACATTAAAATCTGATTAAGAGTAACATCTCATTAAGTAATTATCAGAAAACCATTAGAATTTGTTTGGTTTTTATAACGTTCTGCCCATACGTTTAGTAAACGAAACTTTTAACATCATGGATTTAGCTGTTCAAGTCATAAAGAATCATTGAAAATCAATATACTTGTTCGTCTCAAGACCTTAAACACTGTGTATCAATTTAAAGTCAATCGGATATTAACTTTAGCCTCTAGAGCGTCCACAAGATTTTTCAAAGTGATCAAGGGCCATAACTCTGGCAGTAATTATCATAAATCGCTGAAAATCAATAGGATTCTTCGTCTCATGACCTTAAACACTGTGTATAAATTTAAAGTCAATTGGATATTAACTTTAGCCTCTAGAGCATCTACACGCAATTGTGGACACCAGACGGACGGACGGACGGGGGCGACGACAATATACGACCAAATTTCAATGTGAGCGTATAATAAAAATTGTGACTTCTACGGGTCCACATTTTGTCCGGCATAGAGCGTCCACAGGATTTGTCAAAGTGAACAGGGGCCATAACTCTGACATTATCAGAAATCGCTGAAAATCAATAGGCTTCTTCGTCTCATGACCCTAAACACTGTGTATAAATTTAAAGTCAATCAGATATTAAATTTGACCTCTAGAGCGTCCACAAGATTTTTTTAAGTGATCAAGGGCCATAACTCTGGCAGTAATTATTGAAAATCGTTGAAAGTCAATAGGCTTCTTTATCTTATGACCTTAAACACTGTGTATAAATTTAAAGTCAATCGGATATTAACTTTGACCTCTAGAGCTCTCACGAGGTTTTTCAAAGTGATCAAGGGCCATAACTCTGGCAGTAATTATCGGAAAACGCTGAAAATCAATAGGATTCTTCGTCTCATGGCCTTAAACACTGTATATAAATTTAAAGTCAATCAGATATTAACTTTAGCCTCTAGAGCTTCTACAAGCAATTGTGGACGCCAGACCGACGGACGGGGGCGACGACAATATACGACCAAATTTCAATGTGAGCGTATAATAAAAATTGTGACTTCTACGGGTCCACATTTTGTCTGGCAGTTTCGGTCAGATTTTTACAAAATTTGAACTCGACCTTCACTGAGGTGTAACGGTGATATATTCAGAGTTTTATTTTTTTAACTGAATACAAATTGTGACTTCTAAAGGGTTCACAATCTAAAAATGTAATTTTTCGAACAATCAGGAGCCATAATACAAGAAGTTATGTTCCGATATGTGTGATTATCAAGAGGAACCAAGAACTTTGTGATTTAAACATATACACTTCAAGTTTCATCAAAAATTGTGACTTCTAAAGGGTCCACACTCCATAACCTTGGTATTACATACTTTTATACTATTTACATACAGTTAGCGGCCATTTTGTCCGGCAGTTTCAGTTGGATTTTTAGGAAATTCAAACTAAACATTCATTGAGGTGTAACGGTGATATATTTAAACGGTTTTTAAAATTGAATCCAAATTGTGACTTCTAGAGGGTCCACAAGCTAAAAATGTGATTTTTCGAAAAATAAGGGCCCATAATCCAGGAAGTTACATTCCAATGCGTGATTATTGAAAGGAACCAAGATCTTTGTGATATAAAAAGAAATTTAAAGTTTTATCAAAATTGGATCAAAATTGTGACCTCTAGAGGGTCCACAACCTTGATATGACATACTTTTACACTATTTGCATTCGATGATCCGGCATTTTTTCCGGCAGCATCGGTCCAATTTTCACGAAATTCGAACTCAACCCTCATTATGGTGTAACGGTGATATGTTTTTTTTTAAAAATTTAAATCGGATAAAAATTGTGACCTCTAGAGGGACCACAAGCTAAAAACACGACTTTTCGTAAAATCAGGGTCCATAATCAAGGAAGTTATGGTCTGATATGCACGAATATCAAAAGTAACTGAGATCTTTGGGTTATAAACATACATGTCAAGTTTCATCTTTGGCTTGCTGTAACAGAAATATTTGTGATTAATTCATTCTTACCAGAATTCCATGTTCTTAGAACTGAATTGTTGATATCATTTAGAGATGGAATCTGCAATTACAATAGTTTAAATACAATATTAAAACACAGAGGTTTGCAAGTCAACGTTAATTTATACACACATCAACGTCTTGATGGAGTTCGAAGATGAGCATTTTCTGCTTAGGGTAAACAGAGATAAGCAATTTGATTGGTTGATGCTTTGGGACACCATAACTTTAGTTCTGATTAAGTGATTAAAGTGAGAGTGATGAAACATGGATGTAGTTTTATCACAACAATACCTTGACTAAGTTTGATAATGAACATTTTCTGCTGATAGTAAGCACAGCGATAAGCAATTTCATTGGTCGAGACTTTGGAACACAATAACTCTCCTCCTAATTGAGGTAGAATGTTCAAACTTATTGTAGGCGTTCATTACGCGAATGCCTTGATGGAGATCAATCAATGATGAACATTTTCTGCTTACGGTAAGTAGAGATAAGCAATCTGATTGGTTGATGCTTTGCGGCACAATAACTTTGGTTATAATTAAGTGAGAGCGATAAAACTCCGAGTATAGATTCATTATATCAGTACCTTGACTAAGTTCGATGATGGGAATTTTCTGCTTAGGCGTTAAGCAATTTGATTGGTCGAGACTTTGGAACATAACAACTTTTAATTGGGGTAGAATGTTTAAACTTGATGTAGAGGATCATTAGGTGAATGTCTTAACCGAGTTCAATGATTAACATTTCGAGCTAAAGCTAAGCAGAGCTATATGTAAGTAATTTCATTGGTCGATGCTTTGAGACAAGATAACTTTGATTCTATCTGATAGAGTGATGAAACTTAGTGTACAGTTGATAATCAGTTTGACTGCTCAATACTTTTGAAAAAAATAAATGTGCAATTAATTAATATGTGTCATCTATTTATTTTGGTATTTCAGCGGGGGACATCAACTTGACTGCAGTTGGCTTGTTCTTTATCTAAATCTTACATAATGCATCTTTAATCTCATGATTCTGTTCCCCCTCCCGGAGATTTAGAATATTTAGATGATGAACACAATACCAATTACCATATGTGACTCATCACATGGAAATGGGTAGTTAGCAATTTGGCCATATTATTGAGTTACACACAGAATCATATTCCTTGTGTTCCAAGCTTCCTGTTCGCTGGCCGAGATATTGCCAAATACGTCCGCGTCAATTGGAGAGAATTTCAAAACCAGTTTTGAGAAAATCAAGTTAAAAATGAATTATTAATTTGAAAGATAAAATTTCCTTAGCAAATCTGTACTTGGGATATATAAATAAGGTATTTATGAAGCATTTATTTTTGAATATCTGAGAGTCGATCAAAATTTACACATATATTTTTATTGAGTGCTAGCACAATACAGGCCTATGCGACTAACTATCTGTTTCGATGTGATGTGTCACTGACATATCATATTGAAATAGTTCCTTTTTCTTTTTTTTTCTACATGTATATTCCCCTCAAAATATGATAAATTTATTCTCGGTATGTAGACTACATAGCTGTGTGGTGAACTGAAAAAAAAGGTGAACACGAGATAGCTGTACAGAATGCTAGGACCATGCTCGATACTTGCAAAGCCATGTTGATTGCACCAGGACAAAGGAATGCAAACTGGAATACTTACTGATTTCACATAATCATTGGCTGCTGGTAAAACAGAACTTCTAACTTTGTCTACTGCTTTGACTGCTTGACTGTTTGTACCCCATACCCCCTGGTCTACAGTAACATATACTGCACCAACTCCTACAGCAACTTTAGTTGCAACTCTGAAATTGTTAAGTCTCATAGTTATAAAATCACTAAATTTGTAATTACATACATAAATATTTGAACTGAAGTAAATTTTCCTTGCATACAATATTACAATTTTATAATATTTTAAAAAAATATATTACGAGGATCCCATCATACGTAAGTACCAGTACCAGGGAAGATTTGTACAATGTGTAACAGTATAAACAATTAATTAGTTGTACCCTGTGCCAGGGGTTATTTTTGACCTCTGAATTTAAGATCATGTTATATATATATACTTGTTGAATTAAAGAAGACACCTTAGCCACAGCATTATAATGGGAACTATCCAATGTCTTCATATTTTGAAAGATAAAGTAAGGAAATTGCAAGTGATCTATTGAAACAAAATAACAGAATGAACAATGAACTTAAATTGTCGTAAACACTGAAAGTGTCCCAAACCGTTTCGACAGATAGGCCGGGAGGCCCTATAGTTGGCTATAGCCTACTGTAGTGTAGGCCTGCTGTCGCCCTCATGATGATTCATATAATATATATATATATATATATATATTTCCTTCAGTTCTACTAGTAGTACTACCTATTTCCCATTGACAAACTTTATGATAAGTTACAAATTTCAAGCCAAAACTTTTAAGAATTGAAATATTTCATTGTACAAAGGTGTGTATTTTACCAGAGATGGAATGATGGAAACACTTTTTTTTAATTTTTTATTACCATCTTTCATCTGATTGAGTACTAGTAGACACGGACAGCTGGCCCTAGCTCGAGAAGCCTACCGGTAAGTTCTGATGCAAGCCTCATAGCAAACATTAAACCTGTAACAACATCACCGCTAATCGTTGTTACCCCTTCGTAGTTTTAGTTAAAGTTAAATTTATATTTAAATATAATTATAAATTTTGTGTACATTCTTTACTTACTTCACTAAGGTGGCTGCCATTTTGTCAATGGGTCACCTTCAAATAACTTCCGGGTAAACGTAATATCGCGCGAACTAGTTACACATTTTTACTCTGTGCTATTTATAAATGGACGGCTAAAGTTTTACGTCCACTTCCACCATAGGTGATATCGTAGACAACTTTTTTATTTGCATATTACGTCCATTAAGAACATTATACAAAAACATACGCATACATCAATATACATGTATACAAAAATATATTTTACATGGAATAATAATGAATATAATGACATATTATTATGTATATCAGTATTTGAAGAAAAACGTTGATATGGGTCACGCACGTGCATGCGTCACTTGTGTTTAGCTGTGGTCGATTGATTAGGATGTATTAAATGTCTGTTTGTCTTTATTAATAATTTTGGGTGAGCCTGTTCGGCTTTGTTGTTCCGCAATATAATTATAACATAGAGCATCCACAAAGGTTGTCTTATTTATTTATGCTGTGTAGACAAAGTAATGAATGTTTTCTTCAATAATTTGGGCGAGTCGTGCTCAACCTTGTTGTTTCGCGATCTAACATGGAGCACAAAATAAGGTTGTCTTAATTTATTTCAACTGTGTCGGCAAGAAGTAAAGCAAATGTTTTCTTTAATAATTTAGGGTGAAACTGTTCAGCCTTGTTGTTCCGCAGTCTAACATGGGACATACAATAAGTTTGTTTTAATTTATTTCTACTGTGTCGGCAAGAAGTAAACTGAATGTTTTTCTTTAATAATTTTAGGAGAGACTGTTCAGCCTTGTTGTTCCTCAATCTAACATGGAACATACGCTACGGTTGACCTCTTTTTTTAGTATATAAAAGGGCTTTACCTGTGTGCAGGCAAGTAGTAAAGCTAATGTTTTCTTTAATAATTTTGGGTGAACCTGTTCAGCCTTGTTGTTCAGTAATCTAACAGAGACTAAGGTTGTTTTAATTTAATTTAGAGTGAAACTGTTCAGCCTTGTTGTTCCGCAATCTAACATGGGACATATAAAGGTTGTTTTAATTTATTTATTCTGTGTCGGCAAGTAGTAATTAGTGAATGTTTTTTCTTTAATAACTTTGAGTGAGACTGTTCAGCCTTATTATTCCACAACCTAACATGGAACATACACTAAGAGGGCTTATCTCTGCGCAAGCGAAGTTAAGGGGGCTTACCTGTGTGGAAGCAAATTAAGGGGGCTTACCTGTGTGGAAGCAAATTAAGGGGGCTTACCTGTGTGGAAGCAAATTAAAGAGGGCTTATCTGTGTGAAAGTAGTGGAAACAAAGTTTAGATGGCTTGAGTGATAGCAATTTAAGGGGAGCATAGTTTAGATGGCTGACCTGCAGTGTGGAAGCAAATTAAATGGGGCTTACCTGTGTGGAAGCGAATTAAGAGGCTTACCTGTGTGGAAGCATAGTTTAGATGGCTTCCCTGTCACGCTGAAGCAAAGTAAGTGAGCTTACCTGTGTGGAAGCATAGTTTAGTTGGCTTACCTGTGTGGAGGCTTACCTGTGTGGAAGCATAGATTAGTTGGCTTACTTGTGTGGAAGGGGGTTTACCTGTGTAGAAGCAGATTAAGGGGCTTACCTGTGTGGAAGCATAGTTTTTAAGGGGGATTACCTGTGTGAAATCAAAGAAAGGTTGCAAAGCAATTTGGGATTTGGGTAGTCATCGATAATAGCCATTATGACCTTTTTAATCTGTGGTATTAAAATTTAGCTAGAATCATAGTGGTTAAATTATCGGGACTGAAACCACGAAGATATTCAAAAATGGGAACAGAATGTATAAAAGTTCAAAGCCTTATGTACGGAATAATTGACCGAGATTACCAAAAATGGGTTAAACGGGAAAAATATGTGGTGGGATGAAGTGTGTTATGGGATGAAGTGTGTTATGGGGCGAAGTTTGTTGTGGGGCGAAGTGAGTTGTGAGTTGAGATAGTATTTTATGTTAATAAAGTTCATATTGTTGTCATTGTCTTAGTTTTGATATTCGTAAAATGATTCCGGAGCAGAAGCACTGTGCCTGCAATACTTAAATCTATAGGCAAGACGGTAATTCAGTGGAAAGTATACTATTCACTGAGTTACCGGCCCTTGCCGTAAGAGACAAGTGTCCCATCTGTTACTTTGTCTGAAACACTGGGGGACAGTATTTGTGAAGGGCACGAGCAGTCATATGAGGTCGTCCGCATGCCTCCTAAGTAGAATACAGTGGGCCAAAGCCGTGCTTAAGAATTATCATAACCCCTTCTTCCAGGCAGCCTACATGGTAGTTAGTAAGATAATGCCAAATAGGGATCGGGTTCTGTCATTTGTCAGTAGTGTACCCCTCATAAGTAAGGTATTAAAAAATAAAAAAAAAAATAAAAATAGGGAGTTGCGTTTTGCCTATAGGACTCCTCACAGTAGAAGCACTGTGCCTGCAATACTTAAATCTATAGGCAAGACGGTAATTCAGTGGAAAGTATACTAAGATATGTAGTAAGAAAAGATGCATGGGTCGTACGTGGGATGTGGCGACCGGTTTTGGAATATCCCGATCTCCACGTCTGACAGAAATGCCCCATGGTGCTTTAATTATTTTATCCATTATTTCAACTTTTTTATGAAATTATTTAAATTTTGGATATGTCATTGTGTAGAATGTGGATATATATCTTTCCTTGTCGGTAACTGTTTTCAATACTTTGGGCGCTATTGAATTGACAAAAGAAACGCTCTTGTTGGTTTATGTCGGTGATTAGTACTAGGAGTAGGAGTAGGACCGGCACAAAAGGCATCCGAATAGCTGGAGGGGATCAAGTCTTAAACAAAAACGAAAAATGTACTTTTCGATCAAATTCCTGTGGGTGCATGGTCTCTCCAACTACATGTGGCCATACTATTATGAGTAGGGCCTATATATGTATTGCATAAATAATAGGCCTACTATCAAATCAATTAGTGAGTTGATCTAGGGCCAACCATAAGCTCCCACCATGTCTATTGCACTGCGCAGGCCTACGACTTCAAGCGTGGTTCCCCCCGTAACGGCGCACCTGGCCTGGCATGGGGCAGCATTATATTATTGGATGGGACGAACACTGAGGTCCCGTGTAAAAGAACCCTTGTAAGTTGGAATTCAATGGCTGCCTGACAATATGTCCGCCATAGCATACTGCAGTGTGGCGTCTTCATTAACCCGGTTGGAGCAGAAAGGTAGGACGTTAAACCATTTCATTCATTCATTACTTCGATTGAAGTATTTGAAGTGTAGTTAAACACCATGGTGACCATGTTCGATACGAAGCCAAAGGAATGACGAAACGATGTATTTCTGTAATTTTAAGGAATCCTCACATCTTGTACAATTAATGATGCAAACAAACGATGTCAATCAAAACAACGATTTAGCCTAAGGCAAACAGCCATTTTCCCCCGAACTCACCCCGACCACTAGCGGACAGTTAATTCGAAATGCGATATTTTCAAAATCATTTTGACTTGACGATGTACGAGTGTGCACTTACATACATATGTATGGAAGTCTATAACTACCATTCATAATTTCTACTTTTCGTAGCAGAACAGTAGGACGTTAAACCCCATTTCATTTCATTTCATTTCTACTTTTCGCCCTTTCAAAACACGAAAGTCGAAAAGTAGACAGCACGCTATACAAGCCAGATTTTCGACTTGCATTTTGGCTTGTCGACTTTCGACTTAGTCATATTTTTGTATTTACTGATGTCAGTAAATAAAAAGGCGCCAACACGCATTATACCAAGTCATAATGCAACTCGAAAAGTAGAAATTAGGAAATAAACACATCGCGCTATTGGCGACCTATCGTTTTGGCTTGCTGTCGAACTGTCGACTTTGTAGATAGTTTTGATTTCACGATACAATAAAACATTGAATTAGTCTCGAACTCTTCGTTTCTGCCGTTATCTTGAAGACTGATGATGGCTAATTCTAATTTATCAGCGAACTATTCTATGCTTTTTAAATCAGGACTAACAGGTTTCATTTGAGGATTGTATCTAAATGCATAAGAATACCACGACGCTCACCTCCGAATTTATCTTCAAGGCGTTTCTTGGTTGCTTCATTGCCTACCTCTCACACTGAAAACCCTTCAATAGTTTTAAGTGCATTGCCTTCTAAACACTGACGACGTTGTAACATTTTATATGCTGAACTGCATGTTGTTTTATCAATACATTCAAAAAACGCATATTTAAAAATCTGATAAAGTTTTTTTTATCACCCGAGAATTTAGGCACTTCTTCTTTCCTTGTATTGAGTTTCACGTCCAGTTCCACCAAGGAATACTGCACGCAGCGATCCATCTACGTTATACTTCGAGCTGCGGAGCTAGCTGTAGACAGGCTGAGGCAGCCTAAGTTTGGGATGCCACCAAGGGTGATATCGTAGACGAGCACTGTGACTTTCTGTAAATGACGATACGTGTCCTTATCAATCTGCTGAGAATTATTAAGCTTTAATGCGCTATTCAGGGGCGTAAATGTGTGTGTGTGGGGGGGGGGGGGGGGTCGCAAATAATGGCAGTACGTCGGTCGCAAAATAAGTATAGTCGATCTCAAAATAAGGGCTCACTGAATTAATGAGGTAAACAAACAATGCCAAATAGAAGGAAAAATCCCAAACTTTTATGTAATGTATTTGCGTAAATCCGTGCACCTAAATTGCATACGTCACGCTAATCACCCAAAACTTTAGTATAAAATAACCTAGTCAACTTATTCTGTTGTGTTTGTCTAAGAAAATAATTCCCTCTCTGGGAGAAAAATAGTCGGTCTCAAAATTCGTGAAGTCACTGCAGTCGGTCTCAGAATTATGCATCTGCGACTGACGAAATGAATTAATGAGGTAAACAAACAATGTCAGAATAGGAGGCAAAATACTTAATATACGTGCACCTAAATTTCTTAAGTCACATAGTCGGTCTCAAAATAAGTGCTCACTGCAGTCGGTCTCAGACTAAATGAATTAATGAGGTAAACAATGCCAAAATAGAAGGGAAACATTTTGTGTGAATCCGTGCACCTAAATTGCAGCGGTCTAGTATAAAATAACCTAGTCAACTTGTAATATTTGAAAAAAAACCT